CCGGGAGAGAGAGACGCCGCCACCGCAGAAGATCGAGGTGCTGGTGCTGTTGCCGCAGGACGACTCGTACCTGTTCTCCTTGGCCCGGGTGCGGCCGGCCATCGAATACGCGCTGCGCAGCGTGGAGGGCAACGGGACGGGGCAGCGTCTTCTGCCCCCCGGCACGCGCTTTCAGGTGGCCTATGAAGACTCTGACTGCGGCAACCGCGCGCTCTTCAGCCTGGTGGACCGCGTGGCGGCGGCGCGGGGCGCCAAGCCCGATCTCATCCTCGGGCCGGTGTGCGAGTACGCGGCGGCGCCGGTGGCCCGGCTGGCGTCGCACTGGGACCTGCCCATGCTGTCCGCCGGGGCACTGGCCGCCGGCTTCCAGCACAAGGACACGGAGTACTCGCACCTCACGCGCGTGTCGCCCGCCTACGCCAAGATGGGCGAGATGGTGCTCGCGCTGTTCCGCCACCACCAGTGGAGCCGCGCCGCGCTGGTCTACAGCGACGACAAGCTGGAGCGGAACTGCTACTTCACCCTCGAGGGGGTCCACGAGGTCTTCCAGGAGGAGGGTTTGCACACGTCCGCCTACAGTTTCGACGAGACCAAAGACTTGGACCTGGAGGACATCGTGCGCTACATCCAGGCCAGTGAGCGAGGTGAGCAGGAGGGGCCCCGGGCCTCCGCGGCAACCCAGCCGCTCCCCGCAGCCCTCCCCACACACCATCCGCTCCTGCGCGGACCCCACTCCCCCCCGGCTGCGCTACGGACTCGGGAGGGCACTTGTGCGGGGGTTCGCGGGGTGCGCGCTTTCGGGTTGCTAAGACCTTTAATCACCCGCCTTCGCGGTCTCCGGGTGTACGTAGAAAGTCCCGGGGACGTGATGGGGCCGGGGGGAGGGGCGTCGGAGCCCGCGGCTCCGACAGGTGCTGTCCAACCATCTGGGGTTTTTCTTCCTTGTACCCCCATCGCCCAAGCCCGGCTATCGATTAGGGGCGCACTCTCGGTGCCCTGCTCCAACTGGGACCTGAAAGCATGTGGAGGCCAAAACAACTGTTGCCCCAAAGAACTTGCCGCCCAGCCCTTTCGCGACGTGCGCCCCCTCCTAGTGCGGAGGCGGACGCGGCTCTGCGGCCCGTGCGCCGCCCCCTGGCTCGCTCGGGTCTCCGCGTTCCCCGCCGCTCCTGCCACAGATCCCAGCTTTCTTTTAAAGCTGACTTATCGCCCTTCTCATTCCTTCCATGTCCCCTCCAGCCCCTTATAAACGAGCTTATGTGGTTTCCACCCAAATGCCTTGCTGTGTCTTGACGCAGGCGACACTCACTTCCCCCGGGGTGTTGGGCATCGCGGTCTCTAAAGAGCCGGGAGGCAGACTTTGGGGGAGCGCGCTCTGGAGGAGTGGGCGATGAACCCCCATTTTTAATGCTCCCCAAGTTTTCTCCGTGGGTCTCTGAGGGTTTGACTGACCACCCAACTATGGCTACCCGGAGTGGGAGGAGAAGCGGGTAGTCGCGGATACGTAATTGCGAAAGCCCCCATGTGGCCCATTTTCCTGCAGAGTAAACTGCGGGAATGGCTGGCGGAGACGGCAGCAAAACGCAGTTCCCTTCCTGCCGGTGTCAGGCTTGGGGAATCCCACCTCTGCTCCCACTTGCACCTGGATTTTAAGTGGTGCAATCCCAGCAAAGCTCCCCACGACCCCACGCCGGGAGCCCGAAGGGAACAGGGGCTGAGCCAGGTGCAGGATGAGCCCACGGCTTGGCACGCCCGACCCCTGGGCGCAGCCGGCGGCTGGAGGTGTCCGGCACACATGAGCGTGGGCAGAGGAGCTATGGAGGATGGCGCTGCGGCCACCTCCCTTCCCCATTGGGCCACCTCCGACTCGTAGTGAACGCACCCTTCAGAGCGAGGAGGCGGGAGGTGTTGACAGTGGGGGTGCGTGGCCAGGTTTCGAGTTTCGAACTCCAGGCTGGCTGCGCCCAATCGCTGCCAGCCAAGCAGGCGGGGCGCGCGGGCTTTGCGGATTATGAAAAAGGGTACTTGTATCCAAAGGTTGCGGACTCGCCACGCCCGGCCGAGAAACCCACATCTACCTCTTACCTCCAGGCTCCAGGTTACTGCAGACCCCTGCAGACACTGGGCTGCTCTGGCACCCGGAGCCAGAGTCTTTGGCCCTGGGCTTTCGAGGGCCGGGAGCTAGGAGTTGGAGACTTCCCAGGGCTAGCTGGGGATGGGATGTGCGTCCCCCTACCCGCGAGATCCGCAGTCTTCTGCCCACGTGTCTCTGCTGCCACCGCCCTGAAGCTCTCAATGCCGGCTGTGATCCCTGAGCACGTGGCCTGGGATTCCTGGCCAAGGGGATCTGTCATTCCAGGTTAGGGCAGATCAAGGCCACGGGGCCCCTCAGCCTTGCAAGGGGTGGTTGAGGCCAGGGAGCAGGGAGTGCAGCAGTGCCCTGGTGGGCTTGGGGGTTTCAGAGGGCCTGGACTATATAGTCTGCTGCTGATGATTAGTTTTTAATTCCAAAAGCCTCGAAGGTGTACCCAGTCTGCTTTTTTTTGTACTTCTTTTTTAAAAAAATTATCTTTATTGTCGAAAATATTACAGGTATCCCCTTTATTCTCTATTGTCTCCCCTGNTTTAAAAAAAATTATCTTTATTGTCGAAAATATTACAGGTATCCCCTTTATTCTCTATTGTCTCCCCTGCTCTGCACTCCAGTGCCCTCCCCAGGTCTTACTCCACTATTGTGTGTCCCTGGGGTATGCATATATGCATATAAGTTCTTTGGTTGATCTCTTTCCTCCCCTCCCCTTTCCCTCTGAGAATCGTTTTTTTCTTCTAAGGTTGAATTTAGTGGTGAAAGCTTGCTTGGCTGACCTGTATATTTTACAGGTTATAAAGGTTACCATTCCTACTCTAAAGTATATTTCCAACAGTGACTTGGCAGATGTTCAGAAATACAAAATAGTTTCTGCCCAAGTGACCCCCATGGCAAATTCCCTACCCTCAGGAAAGAAAGTTGCTTGAGGACAAAGCTCTCTCTGGGGATCTTCTACCATCACTTTACCATAAGCAGTTAATGGGTTAATTAGGAGTTCAGTGGAGTTTGATTTCCAGAGCATTTGTCTTGGCTCAGGCATTCACTGGAGAGGGAGCTTGGGCTGCTCCTAACTCTCTGTCCCTCAGCTTCCTCAGGTAAAGTGGGAGTAGTAGGTACAGCCTCATCTTGGGGCTACTGGGAGTATTAAATGAGCTAACACACTGAATGTGCTGGAACAGTGCCAGGTGCATCAGTGCTCAGTAAAAGTGAAGGTTTATTACAGTGGTTATTAGTTTATATACATGATGATAATCACTTTTACTAGAAGATGAGGCCGTGACCTGGGGAAAGAACCCTGGGGTGAGAAGCAGATGCTCTGGATTTGGTGTCTCCACTCCGCAGCTGCTTGGCCTGGCCAGGTCACTTACCTTCTCTAAGGCTGAATTTCCTCCTCTGAGAAATAGTGAGTTCAAATGAGAATCAGGCCCCTTCAAAGTGATGTTTGGTGGTTCTGATGTGTGCTCACTCAAGTATAAAAGTGTAACTGACTGTGTTTTTGTCTTTGAAAATTCTATATTAAACATCATAGAACTAGGAGTCCACCCCCACCCCCCACCCCTTTGGAGATAGCATTTTAGTACTTCTTTGGACTTAGGTTCATCTTTAAAATCAGATGCAAATATTTGAATCTCTTAAAGGGTAAAAACTTACAATGTCACCATCTTGAATAATAATGTGACTAAAATTTCATTTGGCTACGTGTTGTACTGTAGAAAGCAAAACTAAGGGATATCAACTATTCTTTCATTTTAGTGGTTTACCATTGAAGTCAAAGATTACATTTTCTCTCTCTCATGCCTTTAGCCAACATATCATATCACTGAAATACACACATCTGAGCGTATATTATTTAAAGAAAAAGATCTTTGTTTAAAATTGATTCAGTTATGCAGTCAGCTAACTACTGCCTTCAACATTCTATGCTAAACGATAAATTTATTTTTAAAAAGGCAAGTTTAAAACTTTTTCCAGCTGTTGTTTTGTCTATTTAGCTTATAAAATACAGCACTAGAAGTACTGTACCCAAAAACATTTTGCATGAAGAACTGTAGGTATATCCCATTAGTTATTAATAATATGTCATTAATTTGGGCCTGTATAACATCTGTAGAGATAATAGTATTTAACCAGTACAGAGTCATTTATTTTTAGAATTAGGCTGGGGGAAATGACCAAGTGGTTGATCAGAAGAATTTTATTTTTATTGTTCAAAATATTACAGATGTCTCTTTTTCTCCCCATTGATCCATTCCACCCGATCAGCATAATTTTTAAGAGAAGAACCCAGGATAAGTGAAATAATTAACACATAGCAGGGGGAAAAAGAAGCATTGTAGGCTGCCCTATGGAAATTCTGAAATCCTTTGGAGTAGATGGAACTTTGTGAACAATAAAAATAAAGGTGCAATCTCTATTTTGCAAGTGAAACCCGTTGCTATGTAGTGTAGAAACAGCCAGAGAGAAATCCCTTTTCTTAAAAACAGATTTTATTTTTATGAAAGTTAGTTATATAGCTATATAGTTTAAAAAGTCAGAAAATTACATGATTACATGTCTTATTAGGAACAAGAGTTTTCTGTCTCCTACTCCCAATTTCTCACTTCCCAGAGGAAACTATTTTCATATCTTGTAGTTTTTTCTGTAGGTATTTGACCTCATACCCTAAATCACATGTTGCTTTTGATTTTTTCAGTTTTAGGTTTTACGTCTTGTCATCCAGGGGAAGATGCTGATTTAGTTCTCTTTTACTCCCTGTTAAGCACACATTCAAGTTTTCCTTCATTGTGATTGCATTATAACTTTTGGTTAGCTTAGTAGTATTCAGTGTCTGTATTATTATTACCTTCTAAATGCTATTTGTAGTTGAGCCATACAGGCTACTATGATGACGTTTCCTTTCTTTCCCTACTTGTTTTCCTTGGGGTTAAAAAAAAGTCTATTTTTGTTTGCTTAAGTTTCCTATGGAATTATAACTACATAATCTACCAATGTTGTATTTTAAGTCTCCTGAGCTGCTCCAGTTTAGTTATTTTCCAAAAATTCTGCAGAGTTGTAACTCTAGGTTCTTTCTTCAACATCCTCCTGCATCTCCCATCTCTCTCCAGCTAGATCTTTCTGTGTTCTTTCTTGGTTCACACTCTTGTTTTGGTGGAGTACATCCTCCAGGCACTTTCTCAGAAAGGATGAATGAGAGCTAAAGTTTGAGACTTTTCATGACTGAAAATTTCTTCATCCTACCATTATATGTAATTATAGAATTCTAGATCTGAAATTATTTTACCTCAGACTTTGAAGGATTGTCTTTTAAATTCCAGTGTTGCTATTAGGCAGCTAGAATTGATTCCACTTCTTTATCTACTGCTTGTTGTTTTCTTCCCCCCTGGAAATTTTTAGACTATTTTTGTTGCTCCCAATATTTTTACACTCCATTATGATGTAATTTTATGCCACTATTTTGCCTTATGCACCCAAAGGTATTGAAGGGTAGGCCTCTTCAGTCCAGAAACTCATGTCTTCTAGTTCTGGGAAATTTTCTTAAATTATTTCTTTGGAAATTTTATCCCCTTCACCTTATCTGTTTTCTCTATTCTAGAACTTGTTTTATTTGGATGCTAGATCTCCTAAGCAGATACCCTACTTTTCTTATCCCCTTTCTTACATTTACCACCTGTCTTAAAAAAGTTCTTACTTAGATATTTTTTTGACTGCTCCCAGAGTGACTGAGATTTGGTTTTTCATTTCTGCTATCATATTTTCAATTTGCAGCACATGGCACATCTTGCTTTGTTCCCATGCAGTAAGTAGCATCCCTTTTCCCTTCCAGGTATAGAGTTAAATGAAAGATGGATGCAGAAGTGACATAGACAATATGAAAGTACCGTTTTTATTATCAATAAAACCTATTGGAGAACATGGGTTTAGACCTGCTGCCAAAAGGGCTGCTTATTACTTTCCCTCAGAATTAGGCAGGTTCATCCACTAAGTTACAGATCAGCTGTTCAGCTGCAGATCCCCCTCCAGGACAGGCCCTTTATATGACAAAAGTCACCCATAATGTGTGCTCTCTGAAAGCAGACACATCTCAAAGAGAACGGAAGAAAGGGCTGAGCCCAATGTGCCCAATTTTTTTTTTTTTTTCCTTCTAGACTCACCAATCAGACAATTCACTCCTTTTCCTCCTGGGAGTGGGGATAGAGAAGGGTAAATGAAGGGAGTGTCACCTTTTTAGAGGTTGCTCCAAATGGAAACCTGAGACTGGGGAAAGGTATGCATACCCCTAACTCAGGTATCCTTCTGGTCTCTGCATTGACTTCTACAGCCACCTCTTTGCACTTCTCTCTGCGGTTCTTAGAGTGATGTTAAGAATGTGCCATGCCAGAGTAGTGAGAAGTCTCTTACAGAAGACACGGGGAAATCAGGAAGTGGAGGGTGACATGGACCATTGCAACTTCTTTGGCAAGTGAAGACAAGAGAGCGGAATGACACAAACTCTATCCAGAAACTTAGACTCCCACCACCACCACTCCTTTTAGAATTTTAACAATTTGACCCCCAAATTACTACTTGTATATTTAAATATACTTAAATACAGTAGAAACCATCTTAATCGACCTCCATGTTAACAACTTACAGGATTAGCTGATGCTTTTTCTCTGTGAACCTTAGTGACTGCTGGCGAGCGCTGGAGGGTAGCCTGCAGACCTCTCACACGTGTCCGTACACCTTCCAAGAGCTGTCCCCAATCTGTTTATGCCAGTTGTGCTTATTATTTTAAGCATGTAGTTTAATGAGTTATGTAAACTGATGAAACATGAGTAGGAAGAGAATGGTATTTTAATGAAAACTATTTTAATCTTCTGATAGACTGCATAAAGGCAAATTGCTAAAAATACTTGCTGTTGAATTAGGGTTGAATGAAACAACCATGAGAGATTAGGGATTATCCTACAAATCTAGAAGGATTCTGCACTCTGACTGCTTTGCCAGTATCTTTAAATACTTGCTCCAACTTAAACTGAATCATAATGTGCATTATGGGTTTATTTTATGCAAAAAAAACAGTACCTTGCCCATGAACTTGGAAGTTAAGGGTTCCTCTTGAGAGTTAAACCACATGGTCAACACACAACGGATGAGATCTAAGATAATCAGTCTGCTCAGATAGCCACAATGCCACTTGGGTCACTTTTGCTCAGTCCAAGTAGGCTCTGACATTTAAGGAAAGAGTGCGTCCGTCAGAAGGAATTGGTCTTGATGGTGATGGGGATAGAGAGAAGTAGATGCATCAGGACTGTAAGACAGAAAAAGAAGTGCCTGGGAGGCCAGTGTGGGGCAGAGCCCAGCTAGGACTTAGGAAAGCTTGAGCTCTGGCCTTGTGGACCCCGCCTGTTTGGTCCTGGGCCGGGTATATATCTCTTAGGCTGGAGATATCCAGCCCTGATGCCTTTAGATGCCTGAATCATGCAACGGACTTACCTGATTCTGATTTCATCCTTGCTAATTTCCCACTTCTTATGATTTTGCTCCCCAGTTTGCATGCTCCCCAGTTTACATGTTGACGCAGACAAGTTCGTAGCCATTTCGGTCCTCATTGAATTTAAGTAATCTGCATTTCAGGTCATCTAAAAATATCTGAGTTAGGTTATTGGGACTCTGTATTCAAGCAGTGACTCTACTATTTATGTGCTGACAGAATGAGGCTGTGCGTCTGGGGGGTTAGAGGCAAACTCCGAACTAGGATTAATTGATCAAAAACTGATGAGGGCTGCGGGGCAGACAGTCTGCCCAAGTCTGCTGGACCCTCCTGGACATGTCCCCTCTCGGAAGCTACACTCTTCAGTTGTCCAGCCTCAGCCCCTTATTGGCTATTCTGTGGGACACCTTGGCTTTTCTGTTTATTTAAGGGACTAGAATTGAATCATTGCTAAAACAAGGGTCTAAGGCATAATGAATAACGTGTTTCTTCGAAAGTCTCCCTACTGAGGCTTCCTGCGATCTGATTATGTATCCCAAATGTATCATTATATTTCTGAGCACAAACAACACCTTCTCCCACAGTTACAGCTCTTGACGAGTTTTATATTGTTTAAAAACAAATTCTCCAGAGTGGTTGGCCTGTCCATGGAGCCCCTTGGCGGTAGGAATGTCAGAGTCATGGTCTAACACTCTGAATGAAGGTCGCAGTGAACGAAATATCAACAAGCCCTAACCCTCCGCGCGGGTTGCCAAGGCAGCTTTGGCACAGCCTGAAGTTTGTTTTACGTCTTTCAGCACCCATGCTTTTACAAAGAACATACTCATCTCCCAGAGCTGGCATGCACGGTGATAACGCGGTCCCGGCACCCAGGCCTCTCCTCTCCTCTCCTCTGTGTGTGCAGCAAAACACAGCGGGTCCCTCATGGGGACAGGGGTCAGCGACAGTGATCGAATTAGCTGGGTAACGGCCAGGTTCCCGATCCACTGCAGCCCGTTGAAGCTCTGGGCGGCAGGCGACAAAGTTCTGGAGCTGCCGAAAGCCTCTCGTACCCGGCAGCGTGGCTGTGAACTGTGGACTCCGGCTGACTCGTTCCTGTGTGTGCTGAGACAGCCTGAGCGACGTGTGTCAGCATGAAGGCCGCAGAGAGCCCGGACCGCGCCCTGCGTCCTCGTCTGATCTGCCACCGAAGGGTCTCCCTGAAACCGTTCTGTTTGCTTCTTCAGGAAAACGTATTTACCGTGCGATTAAGTATAAAAAGCAGTTGGCACTTCTCACTGTCTTATATTGGGCAAATCTGGTGATTCATTGGAAGAATTTTTTAAAACTTCATTTTGAAATAATTTTACATTTTTGGAAAAGATGTAAGAAATTATTTGAAATAACACCCAACCTCTGTTATAGACTTCACCCAGATTTTTACCAGTTGTTAACATTCTGCCATATATCCTTTTCATTCCAAATTTCTCCCTTCCCCTCATATTCTCTCCTCCCCTCCCTTTTCCTTCCCTCCCCTCCCCTCCCCCCTCCGAATATATACACATATACATCACACACAAATATTACTATCTTTTTATTAACTATTTGAGAGTAAGTACAGCCGTCATGCTCCTTGACCCCTAAATACTTAAGTGTGTTTCTTAAGAAAAGAGACACTTACAGATCCATGGCCGAATGATGAAAACCACGCTTCACACAAAGCAGCGCTATTATCTGGCTTACAGACCTTAATCACATTTCTCCAGTTGTCCCAATAATACCCTTTACAGCAAAACTTATATTATTATTTTCTTTAAGGTCCAGGGTCCAACCGAGGATCACACATTGCGTTGTTTTCTGTCCCTCTAAGTGTGTTTTAGTCTAGAACATGTCCTCAGCCTGCCTTTGTTTTCCGTGAAATTGACCGTTTCGAAGAGCACAGGGCAGCTCTTCTCCAGCCCGCGCGCTGCTGGATTGGCCGCTGCTTCCTCCGGATTAGATGCCGGTTTCCTACTTTGATGCTTTGGTCCTGGGTGTGTTACATCAGGAGGCTCAGGAATCTGTTCCCATGGTTGGTGACATTGGCTCCCATGCCTTGGTTGTGGTGGCATCCGCTAGATTTCTCCACCGTAAAGTTTCTGTCCTTCCCCTTTGAAATTAATATGTAATTTGTGAGGATGCTTTGGGGCGATGTGAGGACCCTGTTCCTTGCCAGCCACCCCCTGCTGGGTTCAGCCTCTCACCGTGTTGCTGGTTCCTTTCCCCAGTGGTGATCATGTGTGCCAGCGGCGACACCATCCGGGACATCATGCTGGCGGCTCACAGACACGGGATGACCAGCGGAGACTATGCCTTCTTCAACATCGAGCTCTTCAACAGCTCTTCCTACGGTAACTCGCATCCGCTTTCCCCTTGTGGGCTGGGGGTCAGCAAGGGGTGAGAAAGAGCCAATAACGTGAGTTACGGCAGCAGATTTGATTTCCATAACTAGGGGTTTAGAAATTTCTGATTCTGATCACGGTCACGACTCCTCCTAAGTTCTCTAGCTTTTCTTCTCTGGGAACTCAATTAGAGCAAAGAGATACCACTTACCTGTGATGCCGAGGGACCTGTCTTCAAATGATCTTAAGTCTAGGCCCTAAAGACCCAGCCTAGTGCATTTCCAACTGCCGGTTGCCTCCATGATGGACTGTAGAGATAATTTGAGTGAGATCTGGGCACCATATTGAATAGAGTGGAATAGACTAGAACATATCAATGTAATAGGACATGTTAAAGTGTGTCACACATACCATATGTATTATTTCATGAAACTTTTATTTAGTAATATAATTGTGTGTTTGTGTGTATATATTTATGCATATTACCCATATGTTTGTAATGGGCCACCATGTGAAATAAATAAAATAACCATTATTGTAAATGGAGATACAACATTTTGAAAGTCTCTGCTCCCAGCCCCACTTCATTTCAGATTGGTGCTCCTTAAGCTTTTCCTATTTAGAAGTTCAGGAGCCACCAACATATGTGATTGAAAGCATTTAATTTCTTAAAATGGACCTGGGGAAGTTCCCAGGGTGCCTGTGATGGAGGGTGTGTAAGAAGGTCATCAAGATCACAGGTATAAGACAGTTTTCCCAGGTGTGGTCAGGACTCTCTCTGAAGTAGACACTGTCGGGCACATTGGCAGTTGAGGGGAACTGTGACTGTGCATTTCACCAACGGCATGTTGATGCTGAGCTCCTCTTCCCAGCTCTGGCTGTTGGGACAGTTAGACAGGATCTGAACCTTACAACACACACCCCAGCTTCCTGCCCTGATATCCTGGTTACTTAAGCACTAGATCACTGCCCATAAACGGACAGTAAAGCACACTTCTCACGGGCATCAGGGAAAGTTGATGACACAAAAGTAGCCGCTGCTTCCTTGTAGTGGGTAAAATGGGAGATTTGAGGCTTTCGGGATAAACACCCAGTGTTTTCCTCCTTGCTGCTGTGATTGTCTTCTCCCCTCTCTTTCACTAGCAGAGTGGCAGTTTCACTTCTTGATCCAAGGTCAGAATGTACTTACATTACTGGCTGCAGTACTGAGTTCATGGAGAGAGTGGTAGACACTGGTGAGAAATGAAAAACACTTATTCTGAATTTTGCAAGTTGGCTACTGCAAACATAGAATTTGGAGGCAATGCATGTGAATGCACATTATAAATAGGCAAATGCAATACAAATATTAGGTACTGGCATTCCTCTCATCCACAGATAAAGCTCGTATTACTTTCTCCTGTCATTTTAATGCGTGAGTATTATAGAAAATTTGAGAAACAAAATAGCACAAGGAAGAAATTAAATTTTTATAATTCCATCACCCAGATAAAAGTGTATTGATAACATTTGGAAGTATGTACATCTTGTCTATTTTACAAAATATAGATTTTTAAATACTTTTAATAAAATGATCACTCTATTTATAGTATGGGTACATAGTGTTTTATAATTTTGACTTGCCATCTTTACTTTTTCTGTCTCCTATTTTAAAATATTTGTGTTTTTCCCAGCTTTTTGCTATAAGAATGAGGCTATATTGAGTTTCCTTGAGTGTATGTGCATATGTGTGCCTGTACACACACACACACACACACACATTTATTCTGTAAGATAAATTTCTAGATGTAGAATTTCTGGGTCAAAAGTTACATGCATTTAAGCTTTGGTAGATATTGCCAAGTTGTCTTCTAGAGAGGTTGAGCAATTTACACTTTTGCAACAATGGATGAGATTGTGTGTTTTCCTATATCCCTGTCATCTAACTTTTAAATTACTTTATTTATTTCAATTTCTTTTCATGACCATAAGCAAAGATTTGCATCTTTCTTCCTTTGAATTCGACAACATTCTTGTAGAGTTCATTCTTAGATATTTTATGTTTTTTAGTTGTTATGATGATCATGATCTTTTTCCATTGCATTTTGTAACTGTAGTTGTTATATAGAAAAGCTGTGAGTTTTGTTTATTTATTTTGCAAGAATTCCACATATTAAATTCCTCCATTCCAATAGTGTTTATATCATTTTCAAATGACAAGTTTTCCCTTCATTCTGATAGTTAACATCTTATTTCTTTTTCTCTTCTTGTTGCATTGACAAGAGCCTCCAGAAGAATATTATATAACAATGGTGATACTTTAATTTCTGACTCTTTGTCTTTAAGTACATATACATATATATGACTTACTGTTGGTGATTTTGGGACGTGTTTTTTTTTTTTTTTTAAATGTATGTCTTTATTGATTTCAGAGAGAGGAAGGGAGAGGGAGAGAGAGTTGAAACATCAGTGATGAGAGAGTCATCATGGATCGGCTGCCTCCTGCACGCCCCCGACTGGGGATCGAAGCCGCAACCCGGGCATGTGCCCTGACCGGGAATCGAACTGTGATCTCCTGGATCCTAGGTCGATGCTCAACTGCTGAGCCATGCCCGGCCGGGCTGGGACAACTTTTAAAACTTATTTTTCTGAGTTCAGTTTTTCTGCTTCTGGAAAATTACACACTTATACAGTGTATAGTGTGCTTTTACATGACCTAGAAAGTATCCTCGGTGTTTCTGATTCGATTCCCTATCTTTTCCCTTCTATAGCCTCTCTGCTCAGGTTTTGAGCTCAGGTGTCAGTCTGTTTGAGAGGCTGTGCACTAGCTCTTGGCACACTGATGTAACCCTGCCCTCCCCGCAAGCCTTAGTTTTATCTAATGATAATAGGAATAATAATAATAATAATAATAGTACTTACCTCATGGCATCAGGCTGAGTAATAAATGAGGTGATGTATATGAGATACATAACAAACTTCTTGAGTATTTAGTAAATGTTAGCTATATTTATTATTAGTCTTAGTTTACTTTGACTATTACACATGAAACTTTAAAAATACATTTGTACATTTTCCTGTGGTCTAGTTTCATAGACTGATTTAGGCCATACATTGTTATCAAATTAACCAACTTTTAGAGATTGTGTCTGTATGCAAATAACCAAGACTCCCAACAATAGTGATGTAAACAAATGTAGAGTTTTATTCTCTCACTTGTAAGAAGTCCAGAGGTGGGCAGTCCTGGGCAGGGATGGCAGTGCCATCATGTCCCCAGAGATCCATGCTGCTTCTGTTTTTTCTCTCCCTCAATTTTAGTGAATGGCATCCAGCCTCAGTGACACAAGATGGCAGCTAGGGCTCCAGGGATCATGTCCTAATTCCAGGCAAGACAAAGAGGGGAAGATGAGAGGCAAAAAGAGACCCTCTCAATTGACTCAGTTGTGTTGGGAGAGCTCTCTGGAAGCCCCACTCGCTAACTTCTGCTTACATATCATTGCCTGCCCCTGCTTGTGAGGGGGGCAGGAAATGGGTGCTTTTGGCTGAACTCACTGCTACCCCAAGTCAATTTAGGAATCTGTTGCTCAGGAGAAAGGAAAATGGATGTAGAGAGACCACTGTCCGTGTTTGCTGCAGACCCCGAAACACCTTTCCTCCTCAGAGAAGAGGCAGGAAACAGAACCTATGACAGGCAGAGCAACTTAGAGCAAGGTTCTGGTGTCCATCAGCAGGAAAGGGGTCCATCATCTGCTCCGAGACTGTGCCCCAGGGATCAGATACATGTTCATGAGAAGTTCCCCACCATCCTCTCTCTGTGCTTCCTCACACCAGACTCTACACCCATTCTAGAAAAAGGTTCTATTTCAATTAAGACTTACTTGACATTGGATTTTTTAAAAAACATTTTGACAGTATGTTCACATTTACCTTGTACTAGATTGTTTGATCTTGATGAGCACTCAAAAACACTCTCATATCTGTCCAAATTACATTGTTACAGGAGTTCAGAATATGTTATGGAGGAATCGAAGTGATGGAAAATAAGGTAGAAAGAATAGGTTTAAAAAAATCTGGACAGACAATGATCTGTGTTGCCCTGGGGAGTTTTTATTAGCACCTTGGAGCATTCTCATTCATTGGCATCACCTTTGGACGTAAGTTAGGCAGAAAGGTGTTTGGACGATCCCATCTAGGACCGTTAATAGGAACTTTCCTGCCTCCCTGAGAACTCGGAGGGCACGAATTAAAGTGAGGAGGGAAGGATAGTACGGCTGGGCGATGCACATGAATCATTTGACTCACTAAAAGTGGAAAAATAGCAGAAAAACTGGGGACGGATTGGATTGATTATGTTTTGCTATAAAAGTGATTTATGCACATCAAAGTCAGTTTGGGACAATGAGAAGAGGAAAAGAACTCTGACACAGTCTTTCAACTGTAGCAGTTGTTAAACCACATTTAGACGCTTCCCCTTCCCATCTTTCTTCCTGTTCCTTTTGTCTCTAACATTTTCGTTACCCACTGCGTTTGCGGTTTTAAATCTTGGAACACCCCAAACTCTGATGAACTGTACGGGGAGCAGGCCCGGCACCAGGGTTTGGAGTCCGGATTGCGTTTGAATCTTGCTTCTGTTGTTTATTAGCTAAGTGACTTTGGGCACCTTAATGCCCTCGAGCCTCAGTTTCCTTATCTTGAGATGGGGATCATACTTAAATCTACCTCACAGTTTTTAGGAGGGTTCAAGAATGACATGGCCCAGGCGAAGCTGTTCACAATGGCATCACCCAGCAAGTGGCGCTGTTATTGCTGGTGGGAGCAACTGGACCAGCCTAGCGCATGACATGCATGTGACACCTGGCCATTCGGAGAGGGCAGGGCGAGGCAATGAGCTTCCCTTTCACTTAAATGGCCACCAGAGGCTAAGAGCCATACATAGTACCATGCAGCCAGCCCAGATGAACTCGGGCATTCATTTCCAGGGTGCATTCTGTGATGTCTCAGCTAGTCACTCAGCCCACGTTTATCCGAGGCCTACTATGTGCTGGCTCCTGGGTAAGTAGTGAGAGCTACAGGATGACACAGTTACCCTGATGTGGCCACAGGGTTGCTGAGCACAGGGCTTGGTGCACAGTGATTATTTCCTTTTTCACAAATATTCTGTACCCTTCTCACTCTAACTGCAAGCTTGGGACTCCATGGTGTTCAAAACAAGACAGGACAAAGCTAAGCAAATTTGCTTTCCTTCATTCCTGAGACGACTGTTAAGAATCGCCTTCTGGGCCCCACTTTCCACAAGCAAACGTCTCTTTCCTCTTCTCAATCCCTTGTTCAGGACCATTGTGAGAATATGACATTAGTTCCTCCCACTCCTCTGAAAGTGTGTCTTTCAGGTTACCGGCCACCTCCTCATTGCCAAAGCCATTGGCCTCACCCCAGGCCGCGCCTCCTCCCCTGAGGCAGCTCTGTCCAGCCGAACTTTCTGCGGTGCTGGCTGTTCCCTTCTGTGTTGAAATGTAGCAAGTGCGACTGAGAAACTGAATTTTTAGTTTTATTGAATTGTAATTAATTTAAGTTTAATTAGTCAAACATGTGGCTAGTGACTACTGTATTAGTGCAGCTCCAGAGCACTCAAATTGTTTCCACCCATTTCTTTCTGGAAGCCCCGTTTTTTCTGGCTTTGGTGCACAGCGTTCTTCTGGTTCTCTGTGAGCTCCTCTGTCTCCTCCTGTTCCTTCTGCCCACTAAAAACAGCATCCCCAGAGTGTCTGTGTCAGCCGTCCTCCCTCCCCTCTGCGCTCTCTTTCTTACCCAGTGCAGTCAGCCCCTGGTTCTAACTCTAAGCCTTATGGAATGACACCCAACACTCTTCGAGCCTCCACTCCTCTGTTTCCTACCCTAGCCTGGTGTTGTCACTTGGGCATTCTGTAGTCGGTGACCTTGGATTGCCCATGACCTTAACTGACATCCTTGTAATTTCCATGTCCGCCTCCCCCTTCTGACTCTGCTCTTTCCTCTAATGACAACCGGTTTTCCTTTCCCCTTTGCATCACTGGTGACGTGCCTCCCTCTGTTGTCCCTCACTCCCTAACTCTTGTGGAGTCTTGAGATTCCTCTTGTGCAGTCCTCTGCTATCATTCTCAGGGGCTCTCCCTTTTTTCATGATTAAAAAAGCAATAAATAATGATTATTGAAAATTTCCTAGATTCAGAAAAACACACAACAGAAAAAAGAAAAGAAAAGGAAAGAAAGGGAACTTGCCCATGATTCTAGCTACCCAGAGAACCATGTTTAATTTTGGGGGGGGTGTGACTTCCCACATCTGACCTCTTGTAACCTCTTGCCTGGACTACTGTGGCTTGAACCTTCAGTGTCTCCCCACTCTAATCCACTGCTATGTCCCAAGGCATGATTCTGATCATGGCACTCTCCTGTTCCACTCATAAATCTCCAGAGGCACCCAGTTGTCTACCGAATTAAATTTGTCCCACGGATGCGGCATCGTGCCAAGCCGACCTCTGCTTTCCTAGGGCTTAGCAACCCCATACAGGAGATGTTACTGACACATCACAGTGACAAACCCACAAAATCAGCAGTCATAGTATCAGTTATGTTTGGGACCAGATACCTATTTATTTTGGCTTAAGTTTATTAAGCACTACTGTTTCCATTCCTCTTTTCTAGGAAACAAAACTTCAAAGTTATTATCTTTTAGATTTTGGTAGACAAATCTGTTGTACTGGATTTCATTTCTTTCAAATTAAAAAAATGATTTTCCCATTTGAGTAACTGAGAAAGTTGCCGTTTCCAGATCCGTGTGTTTTTTCTAATTGTGCAGCATAGCACCCGATAGGGCTACGTATTCCCAGGAGAGAGCTCTCTTTCCCAGAGCTGAGAAACTCCCACCCTCTTTGCCTAAGAAACGTCACTCCTGCTGAGTCTTATACCTCAAATCAATTAAAAGTGAATCAATAAGTATTGATGGCATGCTTATGAGAAATGGGTTCTTCCATGGCATGAAGATGTTCTGGACATTTCCAGACTTTGGGGCCTTCCTGACAGGTGGGTTCAGCCGCTTCACGAAGGCCAGGGGGTCTGTGTCCACCGCGCAGCTGGGCTTCCCTGGGCCCAGCAGGGAGGTGGCGCTCACTCGCGCGGGCACAGCGGCCGCCTGCTCAGGCTGCCGCCGCCTCTGGGCTCGGGAGGCTTCATGTGGGAGGAGGGGGACTTTGTCAGGTTCTGTTTGGTGGCTTGAAATTTAATCTTGTGCTCACTGAGAACAGATCTAGTCCTTAATGAATTTTGTCCTCGGCTCTGCCTTATTTATCTTTGAACAGCTGCTGCCCACTGGATGTCGCGGACATTTGCACCTTTGCTTGTGCCTTAGGCTCTGCCAAGCATGCCTCCCCATCCCCCTCGGCGCCTATTAAAACCCTGGTCACACATTTGGACCAGGCCGATGCCCCCGCCTCACACGAAACCTTCCTTCCTGGGAGCCGGGCGCCTTCCTCTGCACTCCACAGTGTTCCTTTGTATCCCCCCCCCAGGCTGTTACCTGTAATAACTTCAGTTGTTACAGGTCTGTCTCTAGAGCCTTCTCTTGAAGGTGATGGAGGCTGTTGAAGACACTCATGCTGTCCACAGACCTCTGACCGTAGTTCAGTTAACCCATGCTTGTCTGACTTAAGCTGTGATGGAAACTCCAAGGCCACTAGCTCTCTTTCTGTAAGAGTAGAGAGAGGGCCATGGAGCCCAGACTCACACTCCAGAACCATCCTCGCTGCTCAGCCGTCAGGCTGCAGGCATTTGCCATGGACGGGGGACTCAGTGTGAGCAAGTGCCTTCAGTGTGGGACTCCAGGGCTTGAATTCCTTGTTGTATTTCCAGATTGCCAGGGATCATAATGATAATTCATAGAAACAACAGCTTATTGCCAAATGTTAGAGGTCCACATTTTCTTCTGGGGCCCTGAAAGCCATGTAGTTTCTAAAAAAATGAAATAATAAGAGATTAATGATTTTAAAAAAATCCTCACCAGAGGATATATATATTTTTTATTGAATTTTGGAGAGAGAGGAAGGGAGGGAGGGAGAGAGAGAGAGAGAGAGAGAAACATCTATCTGTTGCCTCCCATATGCGCCCTGACTGGGGATCAAACCTGCAACCCTTTGGTGTACAGAACGACTCTCCAACCAACTTAGCCACCCTGCCAGGGCAAGAGTAATGATTTTCACCCCTGTAATTTGCCTTTGCTTTTGTGAAGGGAGAGTTGTGGAACAGTGGGGTACCCAGCTTCTCATGCCTCAGTTTCCTCATCTGTAAAATAAAGACGATAATTGTACCCACATCACTGGGTCTTGTGAGGATTAAGTGAGTTTCTGACTGTAAAGTGCTCAATAAATAACCAGAGATGATTATTATATATCTGCCCAGTCCATGTTAGCAATTTTCATTTCATTACTATCGGTGCAGATGGACACTGTCCAGTAAATAATGTAATGATGTGTCCAGTGCTAGAGATACAAATCCTCATTCCCCTAAGCTACTTCTCACTCTAAAAGGATTCCAGAAATATTTTCAGAGCTATCGATAATTTCAAACTTTTTTGTTTTAACGGTGCCAACTTGATCATGCTTGTGCACACCCGCTGTCATTCAGAGCCATTCCTGCCACCACATCTGCATAGGATCAGGTTTGTTGCACCAGAGCAACAACTTGGTTGACCTCCACAGTGGACTGTAGGGATGAAAAACTGAGCACGAATGAGAGCGAATGAAACTTTCTTCTCACTCCTGCAATGCTGAGATTCTCGAGGCCTGCAAATTACAGTTACACGGTTATTATAGGGTAGTAAACGCCACGGTGCTTTTATTTCTCTCATATTTCAAAGGAACACATGTCTAAAGGGCCTTCGCCTCCTCTGAGGGGCCTGACGTTGTCACATCATACCCAAGTGCAAGGCTATGACAATACCTCCTGCCCCTGCTTCCAAAAGTAACATGTAGAGACACATCGCAGTTGGAAAGGGAGAATGGCCCCTTTATGGTGACTGGCTTGGAATGATAAATATTTTTATTTCTCCTGTAGGAGATGGCTCGTGGAAGAGAGGAGACAAACACGACTTTGAAGCTAAGCAGGCGTACTCATCCCTCCAAACAATCACCCTACTGAGGACAGTGAAACCCGAGTTTGAGAAGTTTTCCATGGAGGTGAAAAGTTCTGTTGAGAAACAAGGGCTCAATGAGGAGGATTACGTAAGTGCTTGATTGCGAGCCGAGACCTTAGGCATGCTGAAAACAGGCTTCTAATGAAATCAGAGGTGACAAAGTGTCCCATTCTGAACCATTCAGAAATTCCTAGGTTCATGTCTGACTGTCACTGTGCTTTCTGTGTGTGTGTATGTGTTTCTGGCCAGCTCTCCTCCCTCCCTCCCCCA